GTATAAATTTTGTTAACATTTCTATCGCACCAATGGGTATTTGCCAGAATGCAATGCGGCGCTTACGCGCTTCCGTATGTCTTCTCTAAACCAGCCACGCAGCAAAATTGCTTCGAAAAAAGTTCAAAATTTTAAGAAAAATTCGAAATAAAAAAAATCATTTTTTTTTCAAAAAAAAGTCAAATTTCTACAAAAATTTCAAAATTCTCAAAAATCTCTTTTTCAGAGTTTTCAAAAAATTTTAAAGGTTTTTTTTAATATTAATTTTCGGTACGTGAAGTCCAGCAATTTGCCTTAAGGCACGATGCCATACACCACTAGTTTTATTATCTATTTTCTATATTTTTCATATAGATATTCACTTACTGGAGTTTACAAAATTACAATAATCAAATAAAAATGGAAATCCCTCAAGAAGAAAAAGATCCAAAAGAAATCCGGGCTCATCCGGATTTTCCGGAATTAGACAAAGTCGATGTATGCATTTATCCGAGTTACACCCGTATGCAACTACCTTAGTAAGTATATAAAAAATATATTTAAAAAAAATTTTCTGAACGCAAACTCCTTCTGAACGGTTATTCGAATTTTGATAAATCTTTTTGGAGTTTATTAAGGAAATCGACTTACGAGGTCTCAAACGTTTTAAATCTTTCAGTCAATTATCCTTGTCGTCATGTGTCATGTTTAGAATGTCATGTCACTTAACTGTTGTCAGTAGTTGTGTCTCTAAAAGCATCCTTGACACCTGTCATAGACTATTTAAAGATTCTGACACTGTCAGACAGGTTAAAGCTAGTCCGGTAAGAATAGACCAAGAAACGGTTCAAAATTTGTAAAATAGATGATCAAATTGAAGGACCTTGGAAGGTTTGCCGAATCTTGTTTCATTCAACTATATTATTATTGTGTTAATCTTCTTATATATAAAAATGGATTGCAAAATGTGTTGGTAAGCGCATAAAACAACAACGCCTGAACCGATTTGGCCAATTCTTTTTTTAAAATGTTCGTTCAAATCCAAAGATGGGAGAAAAAATCGAATAATTGCCGGGAAAACCCTAAAAACTTCCCTTTTCTGTTTCACATACAAACGTTAGTATTTTCATATTTTTGCCATCGGATACGAAATATTTACTCAAGTCAATGAGTCTGAATTTTTTTACTGTGCTCCAATTTGTATGAATTTTTGAAATTAGGTTTATCTTACTCTCAAGTTCAAAAGTGAAAATAATTTAGACTCCTTTGCCTTTGCCCTCTCAGTGGTGTAATTTATTTTTTTTTTCAAAATAGCATCGGATATCGATAAAAGAACTAATTATAAGAAAATAATGTTTTATAATATTTTTCAAAAAAGCAAATACTCATCATTTTATTCAAAGCTGTTGTACATTTAAGATCCATATGGGGGGTGGATGTATATACATTTCGGTATAGACTGTAGAGTAAAAAAAAACATAATAATTTTTAACTAATTGGTAAATATCAGTATAGGTTATTAAAAAAATTAGAACTTTTGAATTGTGAACATAAGTACAGGACAACGTCTGCGGGTCATCTAGTATAAAATAAATATTTGCCAGTTCTTATATAAATTTGCAAGTTAATTTAACATGTACTTTTGTATACTCTTTATAAATTGTTCAAAAGTTTTGGCAAACTTTCAAACGTGATTTTGGAGTATACAGAGTTGATGTAGGTTATTGTGATATTTAAAAATATTATAGATTTTTTAATTTTGTACAAATTCACTCAATATATTATATTAATTGAATGAATATTTTAGAAGTTATGATTTTTTTAAGGAATAAAAGCACATCTTTATAAATTGTGGAAAATTTTCAAACGTGATTTTGGAGTATACAGATTTGATGTAGGTTCTTATAATATTAGACAATGTGGTAGATAATTTAATTTTAAACAAATTTGCTAAATATAATATTCGTATTAAACATTTTGATTAAAAGTTATGAATTTTTTAAACAACTAGTGCACAAAATGATGGTGTAAATACCATGTAGAACGTTACGTAATTTTTTTTTTCATAAATGTCATTTTATTATGATTTTAGGGTATAAGGAGTTGATGTAGGGTCTTATAATATTTGACAATGTTGTAGATACTTTATTTTAAAGAAATTTACTTAATATATTATATTAATTAAGTGAATATTTTAAAAGTTATGAATATTTTTACTTTTGAATTGTAAACATAAGTACAGGGCAACGTCTGTCGGGTCATCTAGTATATATAAAACTAGGGGAAAAATCGCTAAAATTATTCTTAATATTTTATTACTATTTTAGTCGTGTGGTTTGTCGCCAAAGATACGCAAAAAATCACAAAAGATACTGCAAAGCATTTTTGAACGAACTGAAATTTTTGGAAAGGATGCAGAGCAAAGCCTTAGACGGCGTCAGGATACACAGGTAATTTTAAAAAATCCTTAAAATTATTATTAATAAATTGTTTTTTTACATTTAGGCAATTCTCTCGTGGTATAATTAGTCCAGTTTTCAAATCTTTATCCCAAATGCAAAAGGCGATTGCTGATCCTCTAACACCGGCACAACGTTGGCGATTGGAGCAAAAAATTATGGGCAGGGAATTTGGGAAAATAAATTAGTAAAAGATAGTAAAATTGTAGATACACTAACGATATTAAATAAATTATAACGAGCATTGTTAATTTTTGTTTAAGCGCCTAAACAAAATCTGCCCTTACAACAACTCTCTTATACTCTTCAGTATCATTCGATAAAAATATATTTATTTCGATCAATAAATATATTTTTATCGAGTTTAATCTTTGGTATTATATACCTGAAAGATTCTAAAATAATATAAATTTATAATTTTTAACTTACCGAGATTTCCAAACCACATATGAGAGATTTCATGAGCAACTACAGTGGCAACTCTTTGTTTATTAGCCGTAGAGCTGATGTTCTTATCGTAAAATAAGGCTGTTTCCCTAAATGTTACCAAACCCCAATGCTCCATGGCACCAGATACAAAATCTGGGATCGCTATCATATCTAGAAATAAAAAAAATTAAACTTCTATTAGTAAAAATAAAACGTAAAACTCGAATTGACAAAAATCGGTTCAACTAGATAAAAATAGATCAAAATCAATTCAAATATATAAAAATCCATTCAGGCTCATAAAAATTCATTCAGGCTCATAAAAATCGATGTAGAGTCATCAAAATCCATTTAGAGTCGTAAAAAGCCATTCATATTGACAAAAATCCATTCAGATCCATAAAAATCCATTCAGATTCATAAAAACTCGATTCAGATTCAGAAAAAATCGATTCGAATTTATCAAAGTCGATTATGATTTGACAATAGTCGATTTGAATCGATCAAAGTCGATTTGCATTTAAAAATAATTCGAATTGATTAAAATGATTTGAAATAATAAAAATTATTTCGAATTGACTGAAGTGGATTAGAATTCATGAAAATCAATTCAGGTTCATTAAAAATCGATTCAGATTCATAAAAATCCATTCAGATTCATGAAAATCCATTCAGATTCATAAAAATCCATTCAAATTCATAAAAATGCATTCAGATTCATGAAAATCCATCCAGATTCACAAAAAGTCAATTCAGGTTCATAAAAATCCATTCAAATTAATAAAAAGTCGATTCGAATTCATAAAAATCGATTCGAATTCATAAAAATACATTCAGATTCATAAAAAAATCGATTCGAATTTATCAAAGTCAATATGAATTGACTATAGCTACTTAAATTCATATAAATCTATTCAAATTCATAAAAATCCGATTCAGATTCATGAAAATCCATTCAGATTCATGAAAATCCATTCAGATTCATGAAAATCCATTCAGATTCATGAAAATCCATTCAGATTCATGGAAAATCGGTTCGAATTAAAAAAAAATACATTCAAATTCATAAAAATCCATTCAGATTCATGAAAATCTGTTCAAATTCATAAAAGTCGATTCAGATTTATAAAAATCCATTCAGATTCATAAAAATCCATTCAGATTCATAAAAACCGATTCGAATTGATAAAAACCGATTCAAATTGATCAAAGTCGATTCAAATTAACCAAAGTCGATTCAAATTAACCAAAGTCGATTCAAATTAACCAAAGTCGATTCAAATTAACCAAAACCGATTCGAATGAATAAAAACCGATTCGAATGGACCAAAACAGATTCGAATTGTTTAAAATGAATTAAAATATTTTAAATTGGTATAAAATTGTTGTAAATCGTCCACGATTAAAAGATTGCTAAAAGTAGTCCAGAACTACTAATAGTCATCCACAAGAACTACAAGTCGTTCAGAACTACCTTAAGTCGTCCAGAACTTCTAAAATTTGCCCAGAACTACTAAAAGTCGCCCAAAACTACTAAAAGTCGTCCAGAATTACTAAAACTAGTCCAGAATTAACAAAAATATACTAGAATTATGATAAGAAGTGTATTTAGAAAATAAAATTATTTTTACCTAATTTTGGAAGTGGGTAGTTGACATCAAAGTACCTTATGTAATATTCTGTAACTTTTACACCAGTATCAGTAGCTAAAAATAAAAAAAACAAAATTAAAAAAAGTATACATTTTAAATAAAAAAGTCCATTAAATCTAGTTTGAATAGATCCAGATCAAATTTTAAGGGAAAGTTTAAATATTTATTTATTTATTTATTTTTAAAATATATAGCCCACAGATTTCTTCCAAGAGGACTCAAAAATACAATTATTTTACATAATGAATAACAATTAAAATGTATACAAAATTACAATATATAGTTGTTAACACAAAATGCTTAACATAAAATTACATATAATGCAGAATGTAACAATATTATTTATAAACAGAATAAGATAAAATAATGAGATATTTGAAAAGAAAATAAAAAGGTTAACTTGAGGCTAAATATGATTTTTATCCCTTACCAAAATTAACTTTTTCCTGTTGGGCCGGAGTGGCATATGATCTGAAATTAAAGCTTTGGCCATCTGCATTCTGGATTTTGGCCTCTTTGTATTTGAAGTCACAGACTATAAAACAGGCCAGATAAGTTGACATAGGGACACTCTTTGCAAAGTGGACTGTGGTCAGGCCCTTTGAAGGGACATCTGGCTCTGCTTTCTAAAAGATAAATACCAAGATAATTTTTTTTGCTCTAAATACAATTATAAATATATTTTATCGTCAGGAAGGAAAACCCGACTTATTTTTATATATGTAGAGTATATAAAAATAAGTCGGGTTTTCCTTCCTGACGAAATAACTCCAGAACGCACGAACCGATTTCGACAATTTTGCATTCGTTGGAAAGGTCTCGGGCTCCGCAAGGTTTATAGCTAAGAACATTAATTGTGCATGGCATTGTGCCTTAATGCAAATTGCTGGAACTTCACGCACCGTAATTAGAATTTCGAGTAATGACATTAGTGAGAATTATCAGAACTATGCTTGGTTAAGTCAACGAGCAATTTTTTCCGCAAAGAATAATGATGTACACACACTGAATTTCACCATTCAATCAAAAATTGCTGGCGATTTGGTGACATACCAATGATTCCGACTGGTCTTCCGTTTGACTTCAAACGATTGCAATTTCCTTGCGTTCGCAATAACAAGTCGCAAGGCCAATCGCTTAGTGTTTGCGGGATAAATTTCAAATGGATTATTTAGAAAATCATTGTTTTTCACATGGGCAGTTATACGTTGCCTGTTCACGAGTTGGAAAACCATCCGCTTTGTTTGTGTTAACGTCAGACCAAAAAACAAAAAATGTGGTTTACCAAAGATGTAACTTTAATGAAACGGATAATTTGCGGATTCACTTTCATTTACTTAGAGAAGTTCAACTAAAAAACACTTCATTTTTGTAATCGAAATAAATTCATTACTGTTGTATAATAAAATCACATTTTTTCTTTTCAAATATAGATCAAACAAAAAAAATTTTCATCTTTCTCACGAAACCATCTGGTGACGAAACGGAGTTCGTCGGGTTTGCTAGTTTTATATAATATTATTTAATTTATATATAATTTTATATAAATATATTTTATTATTCTTACCACTTCGTTCATGTTAGACAAGGCTATATAGTCATCTTCGGAAGGCCTGACAATCCTGACCGTAAATTCGGCCTTCATTGCAGGTTCATCGAAAGAGGGAAAGGCCAGCCTTGCAAAAGTTGGCTCGAATTTACTTGTAGCAATCACTCTGAAACAAAAAAAATATAAATAAAAATAATTATCATATATAAGATATTTTCCATGAGACCTCTTAAGAAATCGAGTAACAAGAAGTGATTTTTAGTCTAAGTAAGAAAATTTGTTTTTTTTAACTTTATGTTATAGTAATCGTAAAAAAATCGTAAATTAAATTTTTGCATTTCTCCACGTTTCAGACGTTTCTGAACATTTTGGCATACTTAAGAAAGAATGGATGTATGTATGTGTGCGTGTGTGAAAATTTGATTTTAATTAAAATATTATAAGAAATATCTAGCCAGGTTCTTGGTGTACTAGATAGGCCTGTGAAAGCCCAGTGGTCGGCCAGAGGTTATTTACTCTATTTAAAAAAATATATATATATATATATTGTCCATTTTAAAGATTGTAGGCCATTCTGAACATTTCTGGACGATTTACAACAATATTATACTATTTTATAATATTTAATTCATTTTAAACAATTCGAATCGATTTCGGTCAATTCGAATCGACTTTAGTCAAATCATGTTGACTTAGATCAATTCGAATCGATTTTTTATGAATTTGAATGGATTTTTATGAATCTGAATGAATTTGTATAAATCTGAATGGATTATTATAAATTCGAATCGACTTTTTATGAATTTGAATAAATTTTTATAAATTTGAATCGACTTTTTATAAATTGGAATAAATTTTTATAAATTTGAATCGACTTTTTATGAATCTGAATAGATTTTTATAAATCTAAATGGATTTTTATAAATCTGAATCGATTTTTATGAATTCGAATCAATTATTTATGAATTCGAATCAATTATTTATGAATTCGAGTAGACTTTTTATGAATCTGAATCAATTTTTATGAATCTGAATGGATTTTTATGAATCTGAATGGATTTTGAGGAATTCGAATCGATTTTTTATGAATCTGAATGGATTTTTATGAATCTGAATGGATTTTTATGAATCTGAATGGATTTTTTATGAATCTGAATGGATTTTTATAAATCCGAATGGATTTTTATGAATTTGAATGGATTTTTATGAATTTGAATGGATTTTTATGAATCTCTGAGTTATTGTGTCCTCGATGTCCCAATCGCTTGACGTCAACGATTTTTTTTTGTTATAATTTATTTTAAGTCTTTAAAAGTCTTGAAATAAAATTTAAATATAATTTATATCAGTCAAAAAGAGTCTTTTATAAATTAAATTTTATAAATAAAATAGTAGGTCTATTGACACATAATTTTTAATACTTCTCAGAAGCAATTCGTAACCCATTGTTGTTAAATTCATTACGAGTTGTGTTTTTATAGTTATTGCTTGTCATTCGCAAAAACATCTTAGAAATATATATATCTATATATATATATATATATATATATACATATATATATATATATATATATATACATATATATATATATATATATATATATATACAGAGATTTATACCGTTACGAAACGTATTTTAACACAAAAGAAAAAAATGCAATTAGTACGTGACATGAGTAAAAAAAACGAAGGTACGATTTCTTCAAACATTCCTCATCGTTTGATAAAAAATTATATCTGAAATTGCACCAGAATTTACATTTATTTGAATTAAAAGACTATCGTTCACAAAACTTGTAAATTATTCATAAATATGCTTTTGTTTTAATCCTACAGTTGAAAAAAGTGTCTCATTATTTAGATGAAAAACCAAAGAGTTTAATACATTTATAATAAATTTTGTAATGTGTAATATTTTTTTAATAATATAATTTTAATATATATATATATATATATATATATAATTATATTTAGAAATCTCTCCACCGTTGCGGTTTGCAAGTACAAAAATTTCACTTTTATTTCTTCGGTTTAGAAATACTCGGTGCAATTTCCTACTATTAATAATTTCTAAACAAATTTCATATATCTGTTATATAATACATATAATATATATGTAATATACTAGTATTACGTAATAAAAATGATATGTAATTTTGTATTTATTCATTTCAATATAATTATAAACAATTATTTGTTTATCAAACCAATATGAGTCAAATGTATATAAATGCATAAGACAAAACTTATTGAGAAATTTATTCCATTAAAATCAAAATCAACTAGTGGTGTATGGCATCGTGCCTTAAGGCAAATTGCTGGAACTTCCCGTAGCGTAACGAAATGTTCGAGGATTACTGAATGTTTTCATATAGATTTTTATAAATACTGTAAAATTGTCTAATATTTATAAGAATTATATAAACTGAATTACAGAGTTGAAAATATTTGTTTAAAGTATATAAGAACTTAAGTCAGAACATGCCTTAAGGCACGATGCCATACACCACTAGTTTTTGTTTGGTTTAACCTATGTATGAAGTAGCACAATCTTAGCAATTTATTTTGTATACAGTGTTGTATTTTAAGTATAAATTATGTAGTTTGTTGAAAGCAAGTAATATATATATATATATATATATATATATATATATATATATATAATATAATCCTTGTACCTAACATGCATATATCACAACAACTCAAGACGTAATTCAATTAAATAATTTCCATTTTTTCTGTCTTGTTCGAGAATCCAATTAGTTGTTTCATAAGACACGATATATATATATATATATATATATATATATATATAAATGAAAATATATGTGGGAACACAAATGATCAGACACGAGATTAATGAGTCACCTCACGAACTGAGGTTATTAAAGGCAATTGTATGTTGTTAGTGTATTTTCTCATAGAAATATATAAATTATATATATATATATATATTTATTTATTAATTTATTTATTTATATATTTTAACCAAAGTCTCAAGTTTGGACAAATTTTTTCATCGACGTTCAAACTCTCCCCTATTAATTTTACTAGTATCGTAAAAAATTAAAATTCGTACTTTTCTCACAGTATTATTAATACATCAAAATATTATTAAAGAATGTATTAATTTTAATATTTGTCGTTAAAGTAGACACTTTTAGGTATTTTATGTGTAAATTACAAGACTGTAGTACAAACGGTTTGCCCAGGGTAATTTTTCAAAACAAACAATATAATTAATAAAAATGTGATACATTTTAGACGTAAAAATATCATTAAGTTAAGTGGCACAACTAGTGTAACCGCCTAAAACAAGGTGACTTTTGGGAATTTATATTAAAAAAACTACTTTATCAATCATTTCAAAATTTTAGAAATATATTTATACATGTTTTAAGAATACATAGTAAAATTTTTGAAGTAAAAAATAAAATATTTTTTGAGTTATCGTCGATCTCTAACGACGCGACAAAAAAGGCCCTTAACTGCTGCAGTGATTCCGGCCTTCTACGTGGATGAAATTTACAAAAAAAAAAATTCTCGTTAATCTAGATAATATTGTCTGTAAAATGAACTACGATAAAGAAAAAAAATAAAAATTGACAAAATGACGGCGTTTTTTTTTAAAAAAAAAAGTCAAATTTTACCCAAAATTTTGGTCGTTTTTGGACTGCCAAAATTCGATTTTTGATCCGATCAAAAAATCGACAGGTCATTGTACGGAGAACTTTATATAGAACATGTAAAAAAAAAATTCGATAGTGATCGGATCATTTGTTTTTGAGTAATCGCTGCAGCAAATTCGGAAAATGCTGTTTCGAGAAAAACGCGTTTAAAGATAAAATTATCGTTATACTATTATATATACTATATATATACTCTTTAAATGGCTGTAACTCAAAAACTATTTAAGATATCGATTTGAAATTTTGGTATGTTATTTTTAAAGATATAACCCATCGAAATATGGAAAAATTGAAAATTCGATTTTTTGAAAATTTCACACTAGTTGTGCCCTTAATAATTGCAATATTTGTATTCAAATTTTCCTTCACCGTATGTTCTAAAACACTTGTCGGTTTATATTAGAAAGTTGATATAGTGTGTGCTGCTTTTTTTAATTTGCATATTGGAATAGATAATTTATTGTTTATTTATATCATAAACTAATAGTCATAGTCTAGAGTGCATTTTATATGAGATTATAGAAACAGGTTTGCAATTTACTGATGAATATGCATGTAGCAAATATATTTATAATTTAATCTCGATTTATGTTATATAATGTATATATATATATATATATATATATATATATATATATATAAGGCGCCTTCTAAGCAATTACTGCATTCTTCAAGAAACTGAAAGTGCATTTCAAACAAGAAGATGCATTGTGATTTATTCATTTCTGACATAGAAAGGAAAATTATATATATATATATATATATATATATATATATGCAGAAATAATTCTATATTTCTAAATAAAAATTTTCCCCACCAATCATCTTTTACCTTGTCTGGTTCCTTTCCTCATCCCAATAGTTGCTCTTATAAAATCCAACAATCTTCTTTCCATCGCCTCCAAATTTTCCAGTATAATTCAAAGTCAAATCGTAAACTCCTAAATCCAAAAAATCACCGAATTCCACAATCCAATAATCCAGCGACCGATTTTCGAACACTTTCACAATTTCTGGCACTTTCACATCACTAGTGTTGAAGGAATCACTTTGGGCACTTGTGGGGGTAAGATCGACGTTCGATTGTCTTTTGGAAAAATTCGATTGTCTTCTATCGATTTTGTGGGATGTTATGTTGAGATTTTTGGAGTGTAAGATTAAACGTTTTGTTGGATCTGTCACATTTATCTAGATAAAAAAAAAAAATTTTGGGATTTTTGGGCAAAAATAAGACAAAATTGGTGTTGGCAACTTAGGAGCTGGTTTTTGTAGACGTCTGCAGGGTTTGTCGGTTTCAAAAACCGGTTTTAAAAATCGTTTTTTTGGCAAAGTTATGGAATTCTATAACCGGTTTTTCAGTGGAAAAAGTCGGTTTTCACTGTATAAATGGAAAACGACAAATATAACCAAATATAAAAGATAGATGAAAGCGTTTTTATTCTTGAAATCATATCGATTCAATAGCATTTGATATCTTATCAGTCTGCAATAGTTCCCAGAAAGGTTTTGTATATATTAATGTTAATTTTTATATTAATTTAAATTAGTGTGACTTTTTCTTGAAGAAGTAACTTCATCTACTTAAACTTAAAAAAAAAGAGTTTTAAACCCTAGAAGCCACAAATTAAAGAACAAATTAATATATCAATATCATATATTAAATCAGGCTTTAAAAACAATTAAGCATAATTTGGTCGGAAGTATGAGAGTATTTTCTATTTTGTGAGTAAACAAAAGACACGTGTAAGTAGCAATTCGATAAAGGTTCTCAATTTTTTTTAAATCATATTTTATTAAACAAAAAATAATTAGAATGTTTAAAATTAATAAATCAAATTGCTCGGAACAGATATAAAATTTTAGCTTAATTGTTTTTAAAACTAAAATTGATATTAACAATATTTTCATTCTTATATGTGAAAATGATGCACGAATAACGAATAATTATTTTCAAAGTTATTTAATCAAGATAAACTAATATTTTTTAGTTCTACTAATTAAAATTAAAATAATTTTGGTCACTATCTATAATAAAATAATGATGTCTAAAAACCAACTGTTGTTTTTGCAAAATTTATACCAATTGGTAGACCCTAAGTAGGGTTTATATAAAAACCGACATTTCAGAAAACGGTTTCGATCTTTAATTTTATTAAAAATCCGGTTTTAACCGGTTTTCGAATTTTATATAGAAAATAAATTTTGCTCGAATATTCTGTAATTTATCCGCACATTTAGTGTAATTTAGAATAGTATTTGACTGAATTTATTTATTGTTCAATTTTATAGATAGTAAACAAAATATTTTAATTTCAATTAGTAGAACTAAATAATGATAGTTTATCTTGATTAAATAACTTTGAAAATAATTATTCGTTATTCATGCATCATTTTTACATATAAGAATGTGTTTTCGAATAAATAAATATAATACATTTTAAATAAAAAAAAATCATTAAATAAAAAAAAAATTTAAAAAAATATTAGATAACATGTTGATACATACTTGGTAAGATCAATTTTAGTTTTTTAAAAACAATTAAGCTAAACTCGGGTATTGTCTGTTTCGATCAATTTTAATTAATAATTTTAAACATTCTAATTGTTGTTTGTTTAATAAAACATGATTTCAAAAACTGAGAACGTCTATCGAATTGCTACTTAGACGTGTCCTTGTTTACTCACAATTTTTCTGAAATAGAAAATACTCTCATACTAGCTACCAAATTATGCTTAATTGTTTTTAAAGCCTAATATAATCATTCTAAGTTTTTTGTTCTTTAGTTTGTGACTTCTATGGTTTAAAACTCTTTTTTTTAAGTTTGAGTAGAGATAGTTACTTCTTCAAGAAAAAGTCACACTGATTTAAATTAATATATACACTGGTATAAAATTCTAAATATATATACAAAATCTTTCTGGGGACCATTGCAGACTGATAAGCTATCAAATGCTATTGAAACGACATGATTTCAAGAATAAAAATGCTTTCATTTATCTTTTATATTTGGCTATATTTTATCATAATCCATTATACAGTGAAAACCAACTTTGAAAACCACTTTTTCATAAAAAAACGGTTTTCGAAGTTCACAATTTTCGTCAAAAAACCGGTTTTTAAAACCGGTTTTTAAAAAACGACAACCCTAATCCTAAGTTGCCAAAACCAAATGCATCAAAAAACCCACCGTCAAAACCAAGAAACCCTCAAAATCCTCATCACCACCATCAGGTCTATTCATCAAATGCGGCCTCAGCAATAAATCATAATGCACTGGCACCACACCAGTAGGCAATCTAAAAGTCAACTCATCCTGGACACCAGAAGAGTCTATTACCCCATCATCATCAACTTTTGGAACCAGATTAATAAAAGTCTGGTTGTACTTCCTGGAGACCTTCGTCTGGTTAACACTATCCTTCGTAAAATTATTCAAAGTCTGCCTATTAATGGCTCTCATGATGGCTATCCTCTCCAGTTTTTCTGCAAGGACATCTCCTACAAGGAACCAAGGATGCTATAAGGCATCCACAAAGGATCAGGAGAAATATGCAGGATCCTACCAGAGTCAGCACCAGGACACTTTTTGGTTTTCTTCTCGTCCTGGTGCGATCTGAGGATGTCGATGATGATACTCGATGGTCTTCCATGGTGATGAAAATAGATATGGTTTGTATAAGAAGCACTTCACATTTTTTTTTTAATTTTTATTTTTTGGTCTAAATAATTTTCTGGGGAAAAATTGGTTAAGTGAGGTTGAGGGTTCTGTACCAGAAAGTTTGTGTATTTGTTTATTATATCTCTTGTAACTTTTGAAACGTTTGTCTGGTTTTAATGAAATATTTAACAAGTACAAAATTAAATTGTTTATAGTATTATCTAATATTATAATGCCCTATAGAATATATATTTATAAATTTGGGTCATTTTTGCATTGCATGCAGACACAAATTTGCAAAACAAATATTTATCGGTACAGATTGTTGCTTAATTATTCTGAAAAAATGACAAATACTTTATATAGTTATGTATTTAAAAATAGATTTCATACGTCTGAATATGCAAAAAAATAAATTTCAATATAAAAGTGTGTAAAAAAAAGTATACAAAATTGTGTAAAAAAATGTACAAAATTGTGTAAAAAAATGTACAAAATTGTGTAAAACTGTGTAAAAAGTGTAGTAAGGTGTGTAAAAATGCATAAAGTGTGTAAAAATGCATAAAGTGTGTAAAAATGCATAAAGTGTGTAAAAATGCATAAATGTGAAAAGTGTGTAAAAATGTGAAAAGTGTGTAAAAATGTGAAAAGTGTGTAAAAATGTGAAAAGTGTGTAAAAATGTGAAAAATGTGTGGCAAAGTGTGTAAAATATGTGAAAAAATGTGGTAAAGTGTGCTAAAGGGCAAAACTATAACGTGTTGAAAAGTGCTTAAAATTGTACAAAAAGGTAAAAAAATGTACAAAAGTGTGTAAGTGTGTAAAAAAGTGTACAGACGTGTGTAAAAAAACTATACAAAAGTGTGTAAAGAAAAGTATACAAAAGTGTGTAAAAAAAAAGTATACAAAAGTGTGTAAAAAAAAAGTATACAAAAGTGTGTAAAAAAAAAGTATATAAAAGTGTGTAAAAAAAGTATATAAAAGTGTGTAAAAAAAGTATAGAAAAGTGCGTAAATAAAAAAAGTATACAAAAATGTGTTAAAAATGTACAAAAGTGTGTAAAAAGTGTGTAAAACTGTGTATAAGTGTGTAAAACTGTGTATAAGTGTGTAAAACTGTGTATAAGTGTGTAAAACTGTGTATAAGTGTGTAAAACTGTGTATAAGTGTGTAAAACTGTGTATAAGTGTGTAAAACTGTGTATAAGTATGTAAAACTATGTATAAGCGTGTAAAAAAAGTGTGTAAAAATGTATATAAAAGTGTGAAAAAAATGTACAAAAGTGTGTAAAACTGTGTATAAGTGTGTAAAACTGTGTATAAGTGTGTAAAACTGTGTATAAGTGCGTAAAACTGTGTATAAGTGCGTAAAACTGTGTATAAGTGTGTAAAAAGTGTAGTACAGTGTGTAAAAAATCTACAAAAATGTGTGAAAATGCATAAAAGTGCGTAAAAGTGTACAAAAATGTACAAAAGTGTGTAAAAATGCATAAAAGTGCGTAAAAGTGTACAAAAGTGTGAAAAATGTGTGGTAAAGTGTATAATATTTGAGAAAAGTGTGGTAAAGTGTGTAAAATATGTGAAAAAATGTGGTAAAGTGTGCTAAAGTGTAAAATTATAGGCATACTGAAGTGTTTAAACGTGTTTAAAATTGCACAAGAAGGTAAAAAAGTGTACAAAAGTGTGTAAAAAATGTACGTAGTGTGTAAAACTGTGTAAAAGTGTGCAAAAAATGTACAAAAGTGTGTAAAACTGTGTAAAATTGTGTAAAAAGTGTAGTAAAGTGTGTAACAATGCATAAAGTGTGTAAAAATGCATAAAATGTGTAAAAGTGTGAAAAAAGTGTGGTAAAATATGTAAAATATATGGAAAAATCGTGTTAAAGCGTGTAAAATCGTGTTAAAGCGTATAAAATCGTGCAAAGGTGTGTAAAATCCTACTAAAACGAGTAAAATCGTTTGCATATATGTAGTATGTGCTAAAGTATATAAAAGAGTAAAAGTATATAAAACTGTATCATAGTGTACAAAACTGTATCAAAGTGTACAAAACTGTATCAAAGTGTATGAAATTGTGTAATATATAATGTACATACTATAATACATATAATATACATACTATAATGCAAAAGCGTGTTAAAATGTAAGTAAAAACGTGTCAAAGTGTGCAAAAGCGTGTTAAAATGTGAGTAAAAACGTGTCCAATAGTGTTAAAGTGTGCTAAAATGAGTAAAATTCGTGTTAAA